TTAGAGTCGCCGTGTTTATGGATTAACATTTACTGTTTATTCGTTTACCATCGTGTACTTCATCGCGCACGATCTGATTTGCACGCCGACTATGTCGAGTCGATAGATAATGTTTGTGAAACTTTGCATTTTCTTAACACCATGCCGTCCGCAGATCTTAGATATGGTTCTTTTGTTTGACGCCGGCATAATAGCTTGGAAATTTTAGATTTAAAAAAAAATTTCGAAGATGGCGGTAATATAAATTCCCAAAATTAAGATATGTCATCCAAGTATCTTCGTACTTAATTCTTAGTTAAATAAGCACAATGCTATAATTAGTTTGCTGCCTTTTAACACCCAAGAAATATAGTTCAAATGTTATTTCAATTTTTTAAAATGGCACCAAAGTGGTACCACCGGCATACAACAGACAGTTTTTGCATGGCACCAGCGTGGTGCCATCGGACGGCATAGTGTTAAGAAATCTTGTGCATCCCAAAGTGCTTTGCGTTGAAGAGTTCGTGGTGTATAGGGCGCAGGATCTTTTGGGGGGCCGAGGGTACAGTGATCGACAGCGAGGGTCGTAAATTACTGAACGAATGGGACAGATGCCTGCAGTATGTTTGGGACTGCGTGGACAGCTTCGAGTGATCCGAGTTTATTGCTTAGGCTCCTCGGAGAATGACATACATACTGCTTAGTCGAAAGATAGAGCGCGAGTCAGTGTGTATGTGTGTGTAAGAGAGAGAAAGAGAGAGAGAGAGAGAGAGAGAGAGAGAGAGAGAAACAGCGGTAAGAAAATGCACTGAAGAAAAAGACGGAATGAAAGAGAAGATTTGATGGGGAAAGATGCGACTAAAAAAGTCGGAACATTCAGACCAGAACCGTGAGCGAGTAGAGTCGAACGTCGTCCGTGTCGTTGACGTTGTTGTTCAAGAAAAATTCTAGTGTTATGAAGATTTGCTGTATTGTTTTTATTAATAAGCTGTTATTGTTATTGAAGTTCTGTGTTGCTCATTTTTCCACGGTGACTCGCAGAATGTCTTCAAATAATCCATACAATAGCAATCGCATTCCGTTCAATATTGACGAGCTGTCCAATCGATAAACTAGTATGCTCGTCTATTTGATAAAAGTGTCGTATTTAAACAAAATATCAAGAAAATCCCAATAATAAATGCAGTAACTTACACGCTTTTCAAAGTGATCGTGACATCTGACTGGTTAGAAGAAAATTAAGAGAACGCGAATACAGTAATGTCTCTCTAATTGACGCCCAGATTGCGCACAAAAATGGACAATTTGGGAAGAGGAGATACGATTATCCGAGCCTTGCGGTTTATTTTTATAGTTTATAAATCGTTCAACAATTATAAAAACGAGCCGCAAGGCTCGAATAATCGTATCTCCTCTTCCAAAATTATCCATTTCAGTGGACAATCTGAGCGTCGGTAAAGGAGACATTATTGTAAATAGAAAGACGAAAGAAAAAAGAACTACGCTCGAAGAAAACGAAGTGCACGGAAGGATCCGTCGAAAATCGGTGAATCGATGCAAGGTGAACGGAGAAGCAAGTTCGTTCGGAAAAGCTTCGCGACCCAATCGGTCCCGCTCTCGCATTAAAACTTTTCCAGTGTTAACGAGCAGCCGGAGAATCGTCCACTCCTCTCGCCCTCCTCGAGTGCGTAGTGCGTGTACAACAACCTATGGGAACTGTTTTTAATGGCTCGTAAAACGGGCGTGTCGTAAAATTTCGAGGCACCGGGAACCTTTCTAGCAGCGAGCGGCTGCGGCGGCCGCGGCGCGGCCGGCAGCTCCGTTGTTTCAGCTGTAACTTTAAAAGGAAACTTGGTACATTTATTAGCGACACCTGTCGATAGTCGCCGCGGCGTTACTTATTTTCAAAGTTTACTACATTGTGCGCGGAGGACAATTAAACTTAATAGCGTCGGTCCGGTAAGATTCTCCCCGCGCGAGGAACAATGCGCCGATATCGAGTCTCCATTGTCCGCGGCTCCCCGGATAAGGGACAATCTCGGACCAGCTAATAATTAAAATAGTTTCCCCTGTAACTTCCGCGACGCGACGCGACACGACGACGGCCGAGTTTCCCAAGTAGAAACGGTACCGAGAGCCCTGTGGGACAATTCTTATTAACGGCGCGCCGTCTTAATCGCATTTTATTCTTATTTGGGGGCCGCGACATCCCCGGTTTACAGACACCCCCGGGAGGGGTGCTTGAGACCGTAAATTGAAACGCGAACCGGAAAGTTTTGCTTAGCCGGTGTCTCGGAGACGATGGGAAGTAAACTCAGTTGTAGCACGTGTGCAATATGTTGTGTCACATTTTGACCATTTTTGGAGATGACCTGCGACTGTTTCGCGCGTGACCGTGGAACGGAGTCTACCGACATTTGGTAAATTTGAATGTTTTCGAGGGAAGACAAATATTGGGTTGGCAACTAAGTAATTGCCGATTTGTTCAATGAAATAAAAATTTTTTTTTTACTTGGAATGAAGTTTAATCCGTAATGTATTTTCCATTTTGTTCGATGACCTTTTGCCATCTCTCTGACAACTTGAAAATTCCACGCTCGTAGAAAGTCTGAGCCTTCTCGGCCAAAAACTGAGTTAAGTGAGATTTTACAGCGTCATCGTCGTTAAAAGTTTTACCACGAAGAGAGTTGTCCAGGGATCGAAATAAGTGGTAATCCGATGGCGCGAGATCAGGGCTATATGGTGGGTGTAACATCGATTCCCAACCAATATCCATCAATTTTTGCCGAATGGACAAAGACGTGTGCGGCCTAGCATTGT